GGAGGAGGAGGAGGAGGAGGAGGAGGAGGAGAAGAAGAAGAAGAAGAAGAAGAAGAAGAAGAAGAAGAAGAAGAAGAAGAAGAAGAAGAAGAAGAAGAGGAAACCATGCTATATTTAAATCTGTGCATCTGATTTATTTCACTTATGTCGGAACATCCTTTTCTCTGGGATGAAGCCTACTTGATCATGATGTGTGACCTTTGTGACAATTTGTTGTATTCTGTTTTCCAGTATCTTGTTGGGGATTTTTGCATCTGTATTTGTTAAAGAGGTTAGGCTATAGTTTTTTCCCCCCTTTGGATTCAAGTTAACTGTAAGCTTCTAGGAATAATTTTGGGAATCCTTTTCCCATCTGATTTCATTAAAGAGCTTAAGAAGTACTGGTGATAAATCTTCCCTGAAATTTTTGCAAAATTCATTAGTGCATCTATCTGGACTTTTCTGAGTTGCTAGGTTTTCATTGCTACTTGAATTTCATTGCCTGTTATTGGACTATTTGGGGTTTTAAATCTTCTTCGTTTCATTTTGGTAATTCATATGTATCTAGAAATCTGTCCATTTTTTATCTGAATTCTCCAATTTATTGGTGCATTTCTGAAATAGTTGTTAATAATAATTTTATTTCATCAGTATCCATTGTGATTTTCCTCTTCTCATTTGTTTTTGAGTAATTTTTTCCTTTCTTTTGTTAGATTGGCTAAGGGGCTATTTTTATTATTCAGAAGAGAAGAAGCAAGTCTTAAATTCCCCAATTCTTTGTAATATTTTGTCTCAATTTCATTGATTGATTTCTGCTCCCATCTTTATAATGTCCTTCCTTGTTTGAACTTTGAATTTCTCTTTTATGAAAATGTCAGGAGCTGGGGAGATGGCTCAGTAGAATAAGTGTTTGTCTGGCAAGTACAAGGACCTGGGTTCAATCCCTGGTTCTAAAAAAAAAAAAAAAAGTCAGACATACTGGATTAGGGTGTACCCTAATGACATTTTAAAATTGACTGCCTTTGTAAGGATCCTACTTCCTGATAAGCTCACATTCCAGAGTAGTGAGGGATAAGACTTCAACATCATTTTGGGAGTAGGGAAAACATAACTAAAGAATAATGCCAATTTAAATAAAATAAAATTTATTGTAAAGATATGGGGTGACTTATTTAGTTGAAGAAACAAGTAAACAATGAGAACATGAAGAATCAAGAACACTGACACATCAAGTTTCAGGGAACAAGACCAAATCCCCAGACTTGCAAGAAAGCTGCTGCTAGAATTAAGGGACCACTACCAGCTTTCCTGTCTCTGCATCGCTGACCACTATATCGGGCTCAGCAGATAGTCTCATTGGGTCACTGCTTGGATGGAAAAGTCAGAGTCCTTTATCCCCCCCTAGCAATTATGCAACAAAAGAAAAGGTAAAATTCCCAATGAATTCCAGATATTATTGGCAAGAGAAATGAGGAAGGATATTAAAAGGAAAAAGCCTGCCCCTTGGCAGGAGATGAGGAAGGTAGCAAAATTAAATGGGGTAATGTATCTTTTCTTCTGCTTTAAGTCTGTCATTAGCTCTATGTTAAACTTACTCTCTGATGGTTATTAACATCACTATTTAAAAACACTAGCCACTCAGTAATAGTTCACCTTTCTTGTATATCAGGAGTTTGAACAGAATTCCAACTGATCATAAGTCTTTCCATTGCTGAGTTATCTTTCATTAAATTTGGTGACCATGTCAGTTTTATAGGGGAGAAAAATGGGGGGTCCTAAGCAAGCCCCTCTCCCCTTCTCTGGTCTTTTGCTCTGATGCTCAGGTGCACAGCAGGACACCTCAGAGACTTGCTAGACACCAGAGGGTTTGGTGTCATGTAATCAGCTATTCTTTTGAGCCTTGGAGGGACGAGAAAGAGTATTCTCTCCTGCTCCTGAGGTTCTCAGTTCTCACGTTCCAGCTTGGGCCTCCCCTTCTCACTCCCCCCTTCTCACCCTTCCTACTACCACCTCTTCAGAGAATATAGCCATTGTTATATTACTTATGCTTTGAATTAAGAAAAGAAAAGAAGAGGTGGAGAAAATTAACAAAGTGAACTGCATAGAATTAGGGGTGTAAGGGGGTGGCTTATTTTTAAATAGCATAAATGTCTTAAAGAAGAAACTTAGTCGCTAGATTGTATTTTTGTACTTAGTTTTTTCTTTTTACTTTTTGAAGACTAATAGCTGATAGACCTGCTACAGAATTTTGCCTTTTGTCAAATCCCATGCCATGCCTGGGCATAGAAAGGGTGATAGCCAAGGCTGGAATAACACAAAGGAGCAGCCCAGGAGTTAGAAACTCAGCTGTTTGTGGGGAAGGTTGTATTGCTATCCGGTGGGGGGGAAGAATAAGCACTACAAGCAGAATATTAACTCACAAGGGGAAAGAAGTTAGTCCCATGGTGGAGATCCTGCTGATAAGCAAGGAAGTTGTGCTCAAACAACAGGTAGAAATGGATGGAGCAGGGAATATTTGGAATTTCACACTCTTGGCATCATGGGAACAATGGAACAGTCTGTCCCAGAAGTAATGCACTTGAATTCTAATCATGACTCATTGGTCCAAAGCAGTCTCTTGATCCCACACAATTTAAGGAGGCCAGGAAGGACAGCGCCTTACCCTAGGAAACTGGATCTGCTTACCACCTGGTAGCAGGGACTCCTACACTTCAAAATGCATACTCCAGATCACTCTAAAGTGGCCTGATTCAGAAGTGTGTATTTTAAAGAGGCCTCCTCAGATATGTCTCGTGTCTGATGCAGGATGGGGAAGAGAGGATAGTGGTGAGTCACTGGACCACAGCTTAAAGAGCATAGCTGCAGAGTGCCTCCTCAGCCAGTGCAGGCAGGTGATCAAGAGGAAGGGAGAAAGTCTGAGACAAGAAAAAAGTGTGGGCTGCTTCAAATTTTGCAATCCAATAGCTACAAGTATCCTAATGTTGCAGCCCAGAGGGCTAGATGAATGCTCCCAAACACCCAGGCTTGAAGGCAGCATTGGGATCATGGCTGAAAAGGACAAGACCCTCATGTGTGTCCAGCTACCCTGGGAATGGAAGAAGAATGGGGAGCCAACTCCAGAAAGTAACTTTTCAAAACTATCTGAAGTGTATTTTTATATTAATTGAAGTATAATCACTTTTTCTTTCTTCTGTTCTCTCTTCCTTTTCTTTTCCTTCCTCTACTGTCTGTGTTCCCCTTTATCCCCTATTATTCTCTCTCCTTCCCTATTTTTATTGTCTGCTTCCCCCTCCGCATCTCCCCCTCTTTTGCATATTTCCACTTCTCTGATTCCCTCTCCCTGTCTCTCTCTCTCTCTTCTCCTATGCTCCTTTACTCCCACCCCACTTCCCTTGTCCATGGCCACGCCCGCTCTGCTGCCTCTCCAGGTATTATGCCATCTGCTGCCAGCCTTTGGTTTATAGGAATAAGATGACCCCTCTGCGTATCGCACTAATGCTGGGAGGCTGCTGGGTCATCCCCATGTTCATCTCTTTTCTCCCAATAATGCAAGGCTGGAATAACATTGGAATAGTTGATTTGGTGAGTATCTGCACAAACTTTCTGCCTTACTGTCTGATCAACCTTGCTTGAGACTCTAAATAAACACATGCTAGAAAGATGGGCAAATATCCTAAGAAAAAGTCTGATGCTGGTCTGAGTGATCATTTTGTAAGAAGCTAACATTTTAGAATGACTACTATCTGAGTGTCTCCTTGACCCATCCAAGGGTCCTCTGAATTATCTTCCCAAATAGACCTCAAATTTAGAACTTTTCTGTCCATTTTTGCATCTATTATTTTAGCTGGAATCCAATTAGTTTAGTTTAGATAATTGGATTATCTATACTCCATAACTGATCAAGTTCTTCATCTCTAGCATGCCACATGAAGTGTCTGACCACTCTGACCAATTTTCAGGCAGAATCCTGCTTAGGTAGTTTAGCCAGGATCTCCTTTATCCCTGATTTTTCCTCTTAATTTCTATTCACTGACCCTTACCTACTATGCTTCTTGTTCGTAAATTTTCACTTTCTTTTCATGTGTTCAGAGTTAAGTTCAATTCCACAAACTCCACCATAGTAGTTCCTATGAAGTATTGCAATAGTGCTGAATAAAGTCTGCCTTATTGCTTTAATGAGTGTCCTGAATATTTTTTTCTTATATTACTGTATCCCAGATGGTAAATACTTCATTTTTTATAAAGAAGTCTAACAAATCCTTTGTGGAACAGAATAATTTTATCCCCATTTTACAGATGAGAAAATTCCAGGACCCAACAGTTAAGTAACATACTTAAAACCACACAGCTTGCAAATAGCAGAACATGGATTAGCAGGCAGACAGACAGAGTCCGAGACACAGAGTCTGAGACAGAGAATGACTTGTGATGAAGAAGTAGCTTATGTGGCTACAAAAGTTGGCTGGTCTCAATATCTATTTTCAGAAAGGTAGAGATCCAAGAGAACCAATGTTTTAGTCAGGTTCACATGGAAAACTCAGGGTCCTGACATTCAGGCAGTGAGGCAATAACAGCTTCCTCTTTTTGTTTGTTTGTTTTGTTGTTTTTTGAGATATGACCTTGCTCTATAGTTCAGGAGAGTCTTGGTTTCACAAGGTATCCCAGGTTGGCCTTGAATTCACAGTAATTTGCATGAATTACCTCTTACTCAAATTTATTCTATTCAGCCCTTCAATGGATTGGGTGAGACCTTGCTAAAACTAGGAGAAAAATCTACTTTACTCAGTCTGCTGATTCAAACACTAATCTCATCCAAAATGATTCTCACACCCAGAAAAATGTTTTACCATATGTCTGGGTAGGCCACAGCACATTCAAGTTGTCACAGAATTAACCATCTTGTCCTAAGTTTAAGAGCCCTTAATAATATTTAAAAGCCTTCCAGCTCTGACGTAATAAATATAAAATGAAGATCAAAATATGTGGTCTGGATTTATTAACAGGGATATCAATTTTCTAAGAAGAAGTTTTTGGCAATCACTTATTTTAAAAAAAGGAAAAAAAAAAAACCAGTCCCAAGATCCCCAATAGTATACAAAGGAAACCAGAGAGGAGAGATGGAGAGAACATGCCATCCTCACAGGACCTACAGGAGAAGGAGCTTCCCTTTCCCCTCTCCTTGCCCTCCTCAGCCCCTGGCTTACCCTTTTCTTTGTCTAGGAAAGTCTTCTGCACCACGACTTGGATTAGAAGGCATGTCCAAAAGGGGGTTCTTCTAGAAGCTGAAGAGTAAAAGACTAAGCGGAGTTATGTGGGGAAAGTGTGTGGATATTTTTTCAAAATTCATCTCATTTCTTTTAGACTGTCAGAATGACGATTCCTGAGGCAAACTAAATCCAAATTTCAAACTAATATCATTTTCAATAATAGTAGTAAGAATAATAACAGTCAAGAGATTTGGGGAAAAAAGAGATGTTGGATACTTAGTATGCAGCAAGCTCCATGCTAATCACTGTTCCTGTGAACCGCCTTTGGGCCTCCCAACAACACTACAAAGTAGACTCTATTACTGGCTTCAGTTTATAGATGAGCAAACTCAGGGTGAAAAAGGTTATTAACCAAATTTATTAGGAAAAAGTTGTTAAATTTGAATCTAGATTTGCGGTACCCCAGAAGCTATGTTTTTAATTTTTCTGCAAAACTTACTCCCTAATGGATAGGACCTTCAGAAATGTATGCTTTTATAGATGGGGAGTTTTTATTGATGGTTCAAAATTCTTACCTCCTGATGTAGAACTTCCAAGCAAGTATAGGAAGTTTTGTTTGTTCATGAGAGTGAGATATTGACACCTACATTTACTTCACTTAACTGGAGAAGAGGACATCTGCTTACTAGGAACGTACCTTACCTTTATTTCACTTGCACATTGGATCTACTTTGAGAGAAGGTAGCACAACTCATAAGCTAATAATATCTGTACAACTAACTTTTTATTTGTGGCAATTACATTTTACATAGTTATCACAAACACTGAATGAAGCAACACTGCACATATGCTCCCAGGGGGTGGGATTATATTCTTGCAGTTTTTTGGTCAGATATTCATCTGCCAATAAATATATAGCCATTTTTTATGGTTTTTGTTTAAAGACACTGACTTAATTTGTGTTGTTAACTCATTAACTGTGAGCTGGTGGGCAAGACGATACAGTCCATGAGTGAAGCTTATGTAGCACGTGTTCATCTTGCCGTAAGTACTTCACCACTTTCGTGCACTTAGAAATAGTACGTAACACTTTGGCACTATATTTGGGACATTTTAACTGGTGAAATCACTCACCAAAATCACAAGAAAATGCAAATTATGTGGCAACAGAGAGCAAATAGGACAGTTGTTGAGGTAAAACAAGAAAGTAGTGTGTTGTTTCGTTTGACTTCAGCTAAGAAACTGCCTAGTAGGCAACTGCTCAGAGTGCTGTGCACATATGTGTCTGCAAAGACTACGGATGCTGCTGCCAGTATTGCGTTTTGGATTTTCCAAATAAAGTTTAGCGAGCAAATCAATTCGTGGAATTTGATTTGCTTATGGAATGTTCAAATGAAATTCATGGATAATAATAAATTGGGCATCCATTTGCATAGATCTAAACAAGTACAAGCATGAGTAACACTCAGGTTACAGACCTACCCCAAAGATTTCGTTTGCTCAGTCAAACCACTTGTTTAAAGCTAAGCCTGCTGGAAATGCTCTCCTTCACCTTCAAGTTTTACAAGTGCAAAACCACATCAACTCACCAAAGGGTTAATAACGCACTGTGAGGTTAAAATCACTAAAAATTGAGCTATATATTCATATAACTTTCAGACTGTTTCCCAAACATGTTCTTAAACCTGAATTCTGCTTATTAAGATCGCTTTTCTTTTTAATTATAAGTACCATTTATTAAATATTTTAGACAGTGTACAAAATTCTTCACATTTTAATTGCACCTAATCAATACAATATTACATGCTTAATATTCATTCCATAAAGGAATTCTTAGAACTTTAGGGTCTTAAGTTCATAATAATTGTTCTATTTATTATTTTTTCATTTATTGAAATGCCACTATGTTCTATAGGCTCCTGAGAAATCCATGATGAAAGCATTCAAAGTTTTATGTTATAGCCTGGCAAGACAGCTCAGAAGACTAAAGTGCCTGCTTAGGCAAGATTAGGCAAGCGCGGGGACTGCAGTTCGATCCCTGACACCATATGCCATGCCAGCCCTGACTCCAGGGCAGGCTGAGCCTACCACAGAGTCTGGGTGTAGTGGCACACACCTATCATCCCAGTGCTAGGGAGGCTGAAAAACAGCAGGATCACTACAAGTCCAAGCTGCATAGTGAGACCCTGTAACAACAAAATACATTAAAAAATAAAAAATGCTTTATGCTAAACACTAGCAATAAAAAGTATAATGTATATCGGGTTTTATGTTTATTTAATACAAAAACCACAGTCAAGTAAAAAGATAAGTAATGAGATTATTATTTTACAAGTAAAAGTCACTCTTTGATATTGCCAAACCATTGCTCTATAGGACGTGAGCGAATGGCCCATGTAAGTATTTAGCAAAAAGTGTTCTATTCCAAAATTGCAATAAATGCAAAGACCATTGAGTGGGCTCATGCTTGGTTAGCTCGAGGAAGTGGCCCAAAAGCTTCAGAAGCCAGTGATTAAGGAGCAAAATGCTGAGCCTGGAGCCCAGAGAGAGCAATGAGGCTACACTGGGGTATCTATTCAGAGTGATAGAGGGAGCTTTGCAAAGGTTGGGACAGAGGAGTAGCATCATCAAATCTGTGTTTTAGAAGAATCATTTTGACTCCTTTGTAGAGAATGGATGCAATGTGGCTGGAAATAGAGCAAACATTTAGAAAGGGACAATAATAGTCCTGGCATGTGGGGATGGCAACTTGGACTACAATGATAGTGACTTGAGGTAGTGAGAAGCTCTTAGATTCCACATATTATTTTAGTCCATAATTATTGATTGACCATCTACTGTTTGACAGAAATCACTCCATGTGTTTAAGATACGTTGTTGAACAGAACAGATAATGATCTGTCATCTTGTAAAGTTTATGTTCTATCAGAAGCACACAAATAATAAATGATGATATAAAAATAAGCAGGTATTTAGAGTACTGGAGAAAAAGTAAAACAGGAGGTTAAAATCACTAAAAGGGAAAGATAAAGTATGACTTTGTCTATTTTTTGTGAGGACACTGGCATTTACTCTGAATGATATGGGATGTATCCTCGTCTCTTTCCTGTCACATGGACAAAATACCTGATACCTCAAACTTCAAGGAAAAGACTTGTTTTGGCTCATATTTTCAGCTCATGGAAACCTGGCTTTAAGGTAGAAATGGTAGGAGGAAGAACAATTCGTGGCAGCCAGGGAACAGAGAAGAAAGGAGTCCAGGTCAAGAATACACCCTCCCAGGTCACCCCCACCAATGCCCTATATCTACTCATCCCCCTCTTCCTAACAATATATTCTACAGTTAAACAGTAGAAGTGGATAAGTATAGCTCCC